TTTTTTGGCTTCCTCTTGGAGCAATCCATTATGTATCTGAAGACTGTTAGAGTGTCTCTCCTGGATCTTTGCTTCTTTATAATAAAATGCTCTTGTTCTTTCAGTCTTTTCTTGTAAGTGATTTTTCTGAAATCTTTAACTGTTCTCTGTGCTGCAGTTCACTTTATTATTTCTTGATAGGCTATGCATAAATCTTCACCAGGACCCACTAAGTGCTAAGGACTTCAGCATATAATGAGGCATGCTTTCAGTGTAATAAGGTTACATTTTTAAATATGATCCTACAACTTGAACACTCTGGAAAACTTATTAGAAAAGCAAGTATTGATATTTAGGTCAGAGAAAGATGTATACCCAGAGCCTAAGCTGTAGTGTAGCTCTTACATTACCTAGATACTTTTTTTTTCAATTTTTCTCTCAGTCATTGCTAGTGTACTGCTCCCAAGTCTTCTATACCAGTCTTCAAACATTTTGTGAGTGATTTAGGTACTTCAGTGGATTATTTTGGATAAAGCGATGATTCCTCCTTATCTCAGGTAAGGAGTTCAATTACAGTTCAGTCAAAACATGAAAAAAAAAAAGTTTCAATTCAGGGTTTTTTGGCAAGCTGACTGCAGGATCTCAGGCCCATGTCATGTGATTTTGTTATAACAACTATGACCCAATCTGGCATTTGGAACTTGTAAAGAGTGAAGATTGAATTTGGTAAGGAGATTCATCACCCTCAGCTTCCTAAATCCCTTCAAAAAAGGCACGGGAAGCAATGATGAAACAGTGCAAGCACAGTTATTTAGTCGCTAAAATTGTCAGGGCAAGAGAGAAAGAAAAGCACAGGTATTTCTGTGAACAGCAGAACTAGTCATACCTGTTTTCCTACAGATTTGTGTCTCTTGGTTGGATGTTCTGATCCATAAAGCTTTCCACCAAATTGAAGCATTTCTGTTAATGAATAAAATTAATATACATGAATATTTATATTATTAATATTATATATGTTACATAATCTATATATTATCAAAATATCAGTCTGTCTATACCACTCTCCCTCTAAAAATATACATAAAAGGAGTAAATTAATCACTTGCTCTTCTCATCTTCTTCTCCCCTCTAAGGAGGACTGAGTTCACCATTTTCTTCTGATGTCATCTCAAGTCTCTTCCCTCTACTTGGCTGCCTATTTTCGAGAAAAATATAGGAATCTATGTCTGGAAGACTATCAAATTTAAGTGAAATTCAGAAGAGTTGAGGAAAGAATATATGAAGCTTTTGGTTTCCCCTCACTTCCCGTCTTTTTTATTTTGTATATATTCCACAGCAAAGCAAGTAAGTAAGCCTCAGAATTCCTTTGACTTCTTGACTTTTTGATCTGTGTGATGATATGCTTCTTTCTTTCAGAATTGCAAAAACCTCATGTAACTTCCCTATCTACGTTATCTTCTTAGATAACTAAGACCACCCCTTTATTAATCTCCTGATTTTACAAAAATGTATTCCAAACTAATTCTTCCCTCTTTGCAAAGATCTGGAATAACCAGTCTGATGTCTGCCTTTACAAGACAACTGATTATGAGCCTGACCAAAATCTAACTTCATCGTTAGTGAAGATGTTGAAAGACCAGGTTCAGCACATTATTTTCTTAAATATAAACCTCTCACACTCTAATGTACTAGTCCTTTTTTTTTCCCAGAACACTATTTCACTTTGTTTTGCTAACAGTTATAAAGTTAGTCTGTCTAAAAAAAGACTAGCATTCTTAAATACGTTCAAAATAAGACAAGTGAGCCTAGTATTACATGAGAAACTTTGTAATCTGGGACTAATGTTAAAACAGGATTAAGAATCCAGAATTTAATTGAGCTTGATGATCTTGTGGAAGCAATTTGTCAGGGCTGGGGGCAGCTGATCACATTGCTTATTTTTAGAATAGCTCAAGAAAATCCTTTTATACATTAAAGGGGCGATGCAGTAAAAGAGCCTGACTTTTATCTCACCTACCAGAAACATTGTGCTTGTAATTGTTACAGAAACACACAAAAAGATTTACAGGATAAAGCCAAAAATGACAAGAAATAAGTGACTTCATAAGTAAACCAGTGGCTGTGTGGCTGAATAGCATCTGGATATCAAAAATAGCTATCAGTCAGCTCTAGATCAGACAGAAATATCCTGATGTTGCCCCCCTGCAATCTTAGGCTATACTACTAAATCAAGTAATTTAAAAAGTTTTAATTAACAAAATAGTATTTTCTCTTTTTATTTTGCAGATTCATCTATGCAGTGAGAATGTTTATCAATTCATACTATTTTTCTTTTTGAAACTATTAAAACTATTTGAAACTATTAAACTCTTTGGTGCTAACTTTTCCAAGAAGTAGAAAACACTCCTTAGGAAAAAAACAAGTCCATACAGAGTTAATGAAGTACAATCTTACAGATTGTTTTGACTTACTAGTTGATTTTTAATCTGTTAGTCACCTGGTTCAGTGCACTCACTTACTGTAATTAGTATATAACCTATACATCTTGCTCGCAGATACATGATCTAAGCTTGATATATGACTCTAATCCACTTCCTCCCAGCTAAAAATGCCATTGATTCATTAAAAAATGCCTTGATTTATGCTGATGCTGTTAAAGTCAACCCTCTATAATTTTGTAAACATTTTCCCTGGCAGATTAAATCAATAGCAATGACTTTTCCTCTGCTGAAAGGTTAGTGACATGGTACCATAAGCACATGTAGTAAAATATCTCCAGGATTCTGTCTGTCAGAAATGTGAAATAGTCTTCTTGAGGAAACCTATGCTTTACTAGAACTATTACTAATTTACTGGTACTTCAAGCAGACTTCCAGCATAAATGCTGGATTTAGGAGTAAGAATCATGTGGGATTACTCTTAGTCAAACAGAATCAAAGCTAAACTATCTACCCTTACAGTACAGCTGGCTTGTGGTCTATAGGACTTTCCATCCTCGGTTAGTTAAAATCTCAGTGTTACAAAAGAACCTTCCTTATCTGCAGCTTTTTCATTGCACATTTGTTTTTTTCTCAGTTCTCATTTGGTCAACACTTTCAGAGTTGACTGGCATCTTAGTTCCCATCTGCAGTAAGTGGGTTTGGTGGGTTAGGGGAAATGTACTGAAAAAAGTCAAGATTTTACCATGAGAAATATGCGTGATCACTACTTTTGTTTTCTACATCTGTCAGAGCAGGAACATTTCACAAATGCAGGAGGGCTTTCGTTTTTTACTCCTTGTGTGCTTTTCTCTCTTTAAAAATACATTTACATAGGGATAAAATGTGTGTGATTGACAAAACATTTTAATTTCTTCAGGTAGCAAGCATCACACTAGAACCTTGCTACCTCTCGCAGGAGACGTAGCCACTTACTCTTCAGACTTCCCACAACGATATCTTCGCAATCTCTCTGCTTACTTCAACCTGGACGCCGAGCAACACAGTTCACGTCTGTCTGTCAGACAAATCTAATTCAGGAAGGTCTGGTATATTTAACTGAGGTGAAAAACTCCCGAACGGGTTGTTCCCATCTATTATTTTTCACAGTGCTGAGTATCTCGTTGGTGTTTACTGAGTGCACACCTGGTAGGCAGGTTATTTGGCAGGGATTATTAGGCTTTTTAGAAGTCACACATAACACAAGCTGTAGTCCAGCCATGACAAACACTATGAAATTACCTTGGGTGTTGGATGTTGGGCCAGTGATGCTTTTACCAGATAATTTTTAGATATAAAGAATAAAGAGTTTAAAATCTAAGTGTAACCCATGTTGTTGTTAAGCTCAAAATAAACTAAGAGGAAAGGGAGGTTTAAGGTGTTCATCCTGCTTGAAAACCAGCATCTTGGCCCATTCAAGAAGCTCATCTCTGAACCAACCCCAATTTTAACAATTTGGTGGCTCTGAGAGGCATGCTCAATTACTGAGGGTTGCACGTTGAAAACAACAACAAAAAAAAGGTGATTTACCAGCCATGACCTTTTAAATTTCTAATCATAATCAAAGCAGAAACAGGGCAGGCAGCACAAGCTGGAAACTCAGAGCAAGGCCACACTGTCTGCAGACGCACCAGGCCTAGTCAGCTAGAAACAAAATGCAAAATTGTTTATTGCCTTTCATGAATTGATATCAATAAGCAAGCCAGAAGTAGCTGTGGTAGCTGTGTAGTAGGTGTGGCTATTTTTTTAAACAGGATTGATTGTTTTGCTTCTCTTTCCCACAGTAAAAATGAAGGTTTTGATTCTTTAAAAAAGATTCTACAGCAGTATTTTTTTTTTTTTTTTTTTTTTTTTTTTTTTTTTTTTTTTTTTTGGTAGTACTTGAAGATTCACGTAGCTAAAAAATGGAATATCTCTACTAATCCTTGCAGGTTTCTGTACCTTGCTGGAGCCATTCACATGCAGCAGGGAAGCAGGCTGTGACCAAGGGCAGGTCCTGAGCTCCGCAAGATGTCCGGTTTGAGGTATCCTGGTGAACTCTGATGACAGGCAGGAGGAGGATTAGTTTTCCTCAGTGATTTTATGGAACACCATTGGCACACTCCTCTACCTTTTTGTTACAGGCTTCCTGGCTCCACTCAGCCCCCGAATAAAGCGAGGACAGTCGAGAAGGACATTAGAGCTGGTGAAGACCAGAGTTTTCCTAATTCCAGCACGATACACACGGTCACCAGGGACCTCGCACGGCCGAGCACGCGGACAGCAGCCTCGAACCCGCGAACCCCATCGCGCCCGCGCTGCGGGGACGGGCCAGCCTCGCTCCCCTCCGCGGCGGCCGAGGGAGGTGCGGGTCAGTGGGAGGACTCCAACTCCCACCATGCTCTGCGCGCCGAGCCCGCGGCGCGCTGCGCTCGGGCCCGCGCGGTGCTCGCCGGGACACGTAGTGCGCGGCGGGGGCGAGGCGCCCGGCCGCTCCCCCTACCGCGATTGGCGCGGCCATTCCCCGCCCGCCGCGGTCGCCCCGCTCCGCACGGCGCCCGCCTCAATCACAGCGGCCGCGGCGGCGACACCCCCGCACGCAGCGCGGTAAGGGCGGCCCGGCGGGGCTCGCGCGGCAGCGGGGGGCGGGCAGGGCCGCTGCCTCCAGCGGCCGCGTGCGCCGCGAGGGCGGCCGAGCCGGGCCCCGGCTTTGCCCTCAGGGCGAGCGAGCGCTGCCCGGGTCCGGGTCCGGGCCCCGGCCCCGGCCCGGCCGTTGGGAACGGCCGCTGGGAAGGGAAGGGCCGCGGCGCTCGTGGCTGTTGGGAAGGGCTGGGACAAGGCCGTGTTTGGGGGCTATRGACACACCAACGTACAGACACGGCACCGCATCTGCGTCCCAAGGTATAGCGTTGGCTCCGGCAGCAACGACTCCAACGCTAAGGGAAACCACGCTAAAGGCACGGCGAGCAGCGCAGGGCTAAAGCTCCGGCTGCAGTCATTCCTGCGGAGTTTCTGTCCAAAGTGCCAACGTTTCCACGTTTGTCCTGCGCTAACGCTTGCCCTCTGCTCCAGCTTACCCTCTCGGCCCCTTGTGTGCCGCCGAACGCAGCCCTTGGTGCTGGGATCCGCGCGTTCCCTCTCCGCAGCCTGGGGACGGTGAGGTGCTCGGGCTTGTCCTGCTGTTTGCCGAGACTTTGTTCGTGGGCAGGTGGGAGCGAAGAGAGCGCGGGCAATATCACCACAGCCCTGATACGGCCGGGCTTGAGCCTGGCCTTCCTGAGGAGCTCAGGAAAAGGAAACCTCCCAAAATAGGACTGCTTGATGTCCCATCCTAGTAAGCGTAAGGAGCATTTCTTTCTTGCCCCCCCAGGAAACTACCATCCCTCTCTTGCTGAGAAATGGAATCTGAAAGCAGCAGAATGCCCTTTATTTAAGATGACTTTTAAATAACCTTTATGTAACATTAAAATGCATTAGAGTCTGATTGAGCAACATATTTACAAATTTTTGCTTTTGCAGAAGTGACTTAACACATCTTCAGTAGCTCGTTATTGCAAGCATTGATAATTAGCTGAATCTTAAAATGGTTAATAGCCAAATCAGTAAAGAAGTATTGCAGAAGAGACTGTAGTCTCCACTGCTTTCAGCAGAGTTCACCAAGATGAAAATATCTTTTTCTGTTATATAAATGTATAAAGAAAATTAGACTAATTCTGCAGGAGGTTGATAATAGATTTAGGCACTTGAGTTTTGGCACCAGATTGTACAACACGTAGCTAAAAATATTGCTGGCAAAGCACCGCAGATATTAGTTTCTTGTAAGGGGGATTGTCATGAGTCACACTTTGGGGAAATTAACATTTAAATGTTAGTGACAGACAGTATGCAAACACTGTCTGGGAAATGGAATTGTGACTTAACTCTGAAAACCGAATGGCCGCTGGTTGTTACAAAGGGAGCTGGAGTGGAGTAAGGGATTTCCAGTGCAAGGATCAGCTCGTGCAAATGTGAGCAGAGCAATTCTCTAAAAATAGCTAAGACTTTTCTCCAAGCTTCCTTTTAACTTACTCAACTCACAGGAAGGGAAAACGAAGGTATGTTTTGTGTTTACATAGGTCTTAACTCTATTAAGAGCTATGTTTAAAGTATCTGGAGCTTAAGGTATTGCAGTGTCAACCTTGCTCTAAAACCAGCGGAGAGTATCTTGATCAGTTCAAACTGCTTTCTCTAGGAGGACCTCATCATTCCCTGCTGCTCTGAGTTTTGATTGTAGTGATAGTAGGACTATTTTCCCCGAGGGAAATTTGGAAACAGAGAGAATTCCTCCAGCACAGAGAATTGCCTCCAGCCAGTGCCGGATGTGGTCTTCCTTAAACATCCCCTCCTACCAAATCAGGGATGCCTGCTGGTAATGTGATGGAAGATGGCCAAGGCACCTCAAGGAGGAAAACAGGCTTTAAGAGCTGTCTGAGCTGTTCTGGCAAGAGGCACCCTGTTCTGGCTGTGCTCCTTCTAGAGGCTGTGCAGCAGCTACGCGTGCCGCAGCTCGGCATGTGTGGATGTGAACCTCCTTTCCTGGGAAAGGAGCCTTTTCCCTGCTATGGACCTCAAAGTGAAGCAGACTGGCCTGGCAGAAAGGTAGTGGGCAGCATCCATCACATCACCCTGTATTTTCTGAGTCAGCCAAAGCTCTGAAATAATCCTGTAGTGAATTTTGAGCTCTTCCATGTAGAGATCATTTTTGCCTGGGGAGTAACAAGTCTCTCACACAACATGTATTTAGGATGCATGCATAACAAGTTATTTTACTTCTTCCTTAAAACATAGAGAGAACAAGTCAGAGAAGGCAAAGAAAAGCTGCATGCGTTAATGTCTGTGGTAAACTGGTTAGCTCTGCTGGTTTCTCTTGTAATATGACCTGGAAATATAGCATGTGATGGGAACTTTCTCTTTTCAGTTGTGGGTCAGTAACTCTTTCAACATAACATAGAATACTATCTTTTAAATTGCCTAAGCAATTAAAGTTTCCCTTTAAAAATAAGCAGAAATATGCAGCTTTTTTCCCCTCCTCTCTCTTTTAGTGGTTGGAAACAAGCTATGAAAGACTTGTTTCTGCTACACATGTATTTAAAAGGCTAAACCTAGTTTAAAAGCTGCTCAGGAGACTCTGGGGAGCTGGGCGTTTATTAATTATGCCTTACTAATGTGCCTATTTTTTTCCTGTTCTTTCTGAAATGAGTTTGGTTTAATTATAGTACAGAAAAAGATAGCCGTGTGGCATTATGTGCCATTAAATACAATAAGAGAGGTTATTTTCCATTCTAAATAACCCATTAGAAACATATGTGGTTTTCTAGTAGTGAAGTAATGCAAATATCTCTTAGCCTTGTTTACTCTCCTGCACCTTCTGCATCGTTTGCAACTTTGCCTCAACAGAGAGGAAAAATCTTAGGACCCACAGGTCATTGTGTTGCACGGGAGGCTGTTGAATTCCCTGCAGAGAGGCGGCCTGCGAGGCTTCGTAACTTAGTTTTCCTCCCTGCCCTGGCCCTGGGTGCAGGGTGGTTGCAGAGGCTGGGGTAGCTGATACATCCGTATCGTTCACACGCAGGAGGGATCCTGCACGTCCCGAAAGGAGCAGGTCTGTGTTAGCACGGCCTGGGGGTGAACTAGCCCGCAGAGATACTCCGGGCAAGCTGCTTCCCATCCCGGAGCCGGTGCTCCGCGGTGCAGAGTGTCGGAAGCGACAGGTAGGGGCTGTTTCTATCTGAGCGTGCCAGGGCCTGGCTTCACATGAGCCATCCCGCTGTGCAGCCCCGAGCTGGCACCAATCCCGCTTCTATTGATATGTCCCAGATATGAACCACTGATTTATATGTCTAAGAGCCAAGCATCCTGTAAAGGGATTGCTAACTCTTAAATAATAATTTGAGCCGCATATTTCCTCTTTGTGCTTACTTTTATGTAAGCATGAGTAGTATTTTTAGTTGGAGAAATAAGAAGTTATGCTTCAATGAGCAGGTTTCTTGTGAAAAAATACTGAGCTAAATGAGTTCTGTTAGTATGAAACTCTGCTACATCTTCCACTAAGACAAACTCACTTAAGGTTTCAAAGAAGTCCAAAGTTCCTGCCTAGTATTTCAGGAATTAGATATCCCTGAAACTAAGTCTTAGGGAGGAACAGGCTTGTAGGCCCATGGCATATTATGGCACTTCACAAAATTTTAAACAATTTGGTCTGAATCTCAGCTGTACTGTACAGAACAGAGTAGACTTCTCGTGTGGCTGCTGTAAACACAGTGTGTCTCCAGGGCAGTTGTTAGTGTGTTATTTTCTGAATCATCCATAGAAGTGGCAAGGTAGAGAAGGCAAGAGTTGACATGTAAACTCATCTGTCGCTGTTAGGCCACAAAAATGTCAAGAATTTACAACTGCAGTTCGACACAAGAAATTACAACAGCCCATCCAACTACCCAGCAATTCTGATAGTTCCTTCACTCTGTAGGACTGCAGAAATTGCTAATAATTTAGCAAACCCCAAATTCTTAAATCATCAGGTGATGTTCATACTCCCAAATCTTGCAGGCAGCGACAGGGGCGGCTTATTCCAGTGAGAGAAATTTCCTAGACCCAAAAGAGCTTTTGGAAGAACCAGCATGACAGCACTAAACATTCACTTCAGGTTTTTATCCAGTTCTCTGGTTTCAGCGTGATAACAGCTCTTCCTGCGGGAGCAGATAGACTAATGTGACTTCCTTCACTCTGTATAAGCTCCTCTTTAAATAAAGGAAAAACAGTATTTCAAGAGTGTGCACACATGCACATTTTTTTCATGCTGCTGCCTGCGTGGGTGTCTGCATGACTTAATGGTGGTGACCCACAGGTGCAGTCTTGGGAAGACACGGGCTGCACTGTGCCAGCGCCCCGCTGCTTCCAAGCGAGCTGGCTTCTCTCTTTCAGCTTAATTGGAGTGTAGAGGAATAGAGAGAGCTTTGGCTGGTGGGAACTGAGGCTGATTTCTTGTTTAGTTGCATGGTAGAGTGGTAGCTTCCACATTATGCCTTGTGACCACGTGATAGGGTTTGGGAGGTTCCAGAGTTTATTCCAGGGAAAACATTGCTAAAGCAGCCTGCTCCACCCATAGAGCACCTCTTCAACACATTCCAGCAGTCATCCAACTCCAGATTTTTTTTTTTTTTTTTTTTGTAACTAGGCAGGTATAAAAGCCATCTAATTCATCTGTCTGTATGCAAATATGAGAAAGTATTCAATCTTTGTGCATGTGCCAAGAGATGCAATTCCTAAAGGGAGCTTCCATTACAAAGGCCCATTAGACACAGCAGCCTGTATGACTAATAAACAATTTGGCCATTTTTAAACATTCTGCTTTGTTTTTTAATGTTTGCTTTCAAAGCAAAAGACTTTATCAGATAATCAAGGTGCTCAAAAATTTACCAGTGGGAACTCTACCTGCAGTCCTCTCATGAAAGCAGAAAGAGCCTTTTCTGCTTGTGCTTGAAACTCCTTTTTTGGCTCTGCAAAAACTTCATGCAAACACTTAACCATAGTGCAAAATAGATGAAAAATACTCCTCTTTCATGTGGTACCACTTCACATTTGCTCTCCACGAGCATAACAGGTTGCACAAATAGCATGAGGCTCTCACGGGCTGCACTTCCCCCTGAGCTCAGCAGCCAGGGCTCCGTCTCATGCAGAAGAGCAGATTGGGCTCTCCCTCCCTCTCGAGCTGTGCAGGCACTGAAGCTTTTGTGGCACTGGGACCTCTCAACACCCTCGTGGTTCTGTCTGCATTGCTGTGCCTGCATTGCCAGGGATTTGACTGCATCTCTAGACAAAATGCTGAGGAAACTTGATACTGGGCTAAGTGCAGCGAGTAGAAATCGGTGCACTAAGCAGGGACCAGGAGAACAGAATTATAAGCTGAATAAGTTTTATTTGGACAGTTCTTCACAGTAGTACTTACTCTATGTCTGAGGCTTAATCACTCTGAACTATTGTAGGACAGAGCAGCCAGAGGGAGCTGAAAGATGTGGTTGTCCTGCTCAGAATTGCCTTCAGTCAGATTTGCAAGTCTTGACAGTAGAGTCTTGTTAGTAGCAACAGCTTGGTGCTAAGTGAAGATAGGAGCAGAAATCATCCTGTGGGTTGTATTCTGTAGAATGGAGGAAAAAAACCCCAAACCTCCCTCAAAAGCTATGTGTATTCCAAGCATTCTGCTGATCTACTTCTCTCACGCTTTTTCCTTAGGGATTTTCGTTCTTGTGGAGTGAAGAAAGAGGAGAGATGATAGTGAAAGCAGCCGTTCTGTTGGCCTGTGCTCTGAGCATCAATGCATTTCCCCTGGAAGAGCCTGAAGATGGAGGCAAGCACTGGGTGGTGATTGTCGCAGGTTCAAATGGCTGGTACAACTACCGGCACCAGGTAAGTCTTGCACGCCAACCTGGAGCATGCTCCAAAGAGCTCCTCATCTGAGACTCAGAGCGTGAGACTGCCTAGACTAGTTCAGCTCTTCTGTCATTTGGGCAAGTCCTTTTCAGTATTTCCATGCACGCTAATAATCAAAAAGAAGCAGCAGCCAGATTGACAGAAAGCCTGGCTTCTCTTGTCATTTTCACCCCAAAATTCTCCCCTTTGTCAGTGTTTTCTTTTTCTTACAACCTTGTTCAGTCTTCCTTCCTTTGAAAGCTGTTACTAGTAGTAGGAACAGTCGTATTCTTGCTTTAGTCACAAAGGCAAGATAGGAGAGCCCTATAATTTTGGCTTGATATCCTATTACTAAACCAGATGTCTGGCCACAACTTTCAGATGGGTAAGTGGTGTTCTGCCTACTTTCTTCTTGTTTTCTGTATGCTGTGAAAAAATATCCCTCTTTTTCTGCTCTTTAGGGACTTAGCTAATACTGCAAGTCCACAGTATGTTTTTATAGACGGAGGATATTGGGAAGGGGTTCTTTTAACTTGAATGAATTTGCTCACTCTGTTGTACAGCAAGGTCCCAGACCTGGGTGGGACAAAAAAAATATGGTACTCTGAGATGCAGGAATCTGAGTGAATGGCAGAAAGAGCAAGAAAGAGAACAGGAACTGAAGGTGACACTGCTGTCCAGGCAGCATGTTGTGGAATTATGGCCTAAGGGTGAGTGTCAGGATGGACTGCATTAAATCCAAGTGATTTAACTCTGATTAAGCTCAAGACTTATAATCAGCAGTCAGGAGACTTCAACAGTTTTTCCCTTTGGGGAAATCTTGAGCAATCCTTTAAAAAGGTTAATCTACATTTAAATATAGTCTTTTCTCTAAAACTGGCACTACCTCATGCCTTCCTGAAGAACACATTCCATTTAATTCTTGTTTTATAATATATACAAACATGTATTTCTAAATGTGAGAAAAATATTTTGTTAGGTGCTAATTTAGCTATGGTGCTAATTAAGGTGCACTTGAGCAGAGATTGAAACACTGGTGTAAAAAACTAGCATTTTTAAATTAAATGATACTATATTGAATGTGCTGGGTACATAATACCAAACTGATTTGCTGAAATCTGAAACTTATTAAGTATTTACTGTTCTTAATGTGACTGCCTGTAAAATCTAGGGAGGTCTCATCCTGGTTCTTTCTGTTTGAAACAAACCAAGACATCTGTGTTTTGAGTACACTGGATTCTGTGTTTATGCTTTTCCTACACCCCCAGCTAACAGTTTGTAATTTAGTGCAAAGACCTGCTTAAAACAGAGTGAACCAGGCTGACAAACTTGTTGCCTCTGAAGAAGAGCCTGTTACTGGCAAATCCTGATCTAACACTTTGACAAACTGGTTTTAGGGATTCTGCAATCTCCTTACACTGCAGTTTTCACTTGATAAACGTATGTAGAATATTATAACCCATAGCATAAACTATTTCAAATTATATCTAAAAAGATAAGTTTTTAAAGTAGAAATCTGTCTTCTTTGAGTACAGCAAGTAATTATAAAAATGCTAATGTTGTATTTCACCACTGCTTGCCCTGAAGTGTCTAATTATTCTGAGTTGTACCTTGATTGTTTCTCTTGCTGTATAACCAGTCTCACTAGCTCCCTTCCACTCAAGGAGGAGTTAATAGCTCAACATTCATTCCTTAAATAAAATTATGTATTTTTAAGGTGTTGCTCAGCAGATTGCCTTTTCAGTGGTTGCCCAGACATACGGCTTTTAGCCTTTCTGTCAGTGGACTTTCAATGACAAATAAACCTGCCAGATATATGTTGAGTTATGAAGAAAACTATATACTATATACAGACTACATATTTGTCCCTACAGCAATAAACCTTTTGAACACATCAGAACTTCACAGAAACAAATTAATTTTAAATTCAGTCATGCTTTGCTGCCAGCTACTTCAAGGTTAGAAAAATTAGAACAACCGTTCTTTAATCAGCTTCCTTTTTGGAAATAAGGTCAACTAACACTGCAGAAGATCTGCAATGCTGGATTATTCTGACTTTTGATGCTATAAGTAACTTAGCTGCCACTTCTTGCTTCAGGTACAGTATTAACAGAAGAAAACAAGATCCCAATGCAAAGTTATGAAATCAGTACCAGAAAAAAAGGGGACCATGTGAAGGATCCTTAAGAGTGGGATTGAGCTCTTATTTATCTGTCCTAGGCAAGAGGTTGTGCCTCTCATTGACTCCCACCAGAACTGACTCCCAAAAGGTGCAGTGCATCAGCAGCTGGCGCGATCTCGTCTGGCTGCCCTTTGGGGCTGCCCTGAGGAGTTGGCAGGGTTGGCACCCTGGGTGCTGGGAGAACGTGCCATGAGGCAGACCCAGCAGCTGGGCACAGAAGATCAACTGCCACCTAATATAACCCACAAAGAAATGTAATTTGGGAAAAACTATCCCAACTGAAACAGTTGAGCAGTGAGGCTGACTTTTCTTGAAAGGGATGTACAGAGGAGGAAAGGTTCAGCTACAGAGACCTTAGGAGTTATTTCAAGTTTTCTATAAATGTTGCACAGACTGATGACCATGTCTGAGTGTGTTAGTGTTCCTGCTTTCCAGCTGTGGAAACAAAAGCCCTGTGAGTCCTTAAGTGACTTGCCCAAGTCACGTGCACCAGGAACAAAAGCAGAACTTGGATTTCCAGTTCTCTGCTGTGACCATCACGAAAGGCATTTGGTAGTGAGCATACAGAGAAACATCACGTTCGTTTTCTGTAGAGTAATATTTGCAAATGGAAGTACAGGCTGCTGGAGAGCTCGTAAGCGGTGCTCTAGAACTGCAGATTTGTGTAATACTTTGTGGCTGCTTTCCAAGGGAGAAAATGGAGAAGATACCTTTTATCATAATTCAGTTTCTTCTTGCCCTTGCCTTTCTTCCTCAGAACTTCTGTGTGCTGCTCTGCACATAAATTAATTAGATGTGGATCTTCCTGTAAGCAGTTGTTCAGTATGTGTCTTTCATTGCCAGACTAAATGTCATTCCCTTAAACCAGCTAAGCAAGCCTAATCTATCTCCCTCTGTATTCTGAGACCTCAGCTGATACTTTTCAGGATTTCTACTGCCCAGTTCAGCTGTGCAGGGCATAGTTGGTACATATATGTTGCGTGCTTGTATTGTATGAATATTTGGGAGCTCTGTTTTATGTGCTGCCAGCATGTGACAGATAACACAAACCCTTTTGCCTTCCACAATAGTTAACCCACCAGCAGCACGTGTTCATCTGATTAAGCAACCATAAAAGCGTGGAAGATCATTTTAAATTAATCTCAAATATGCAACAAGAATGTCTTTGGTTCTATATATGAAGAATTGTGGGGAAATTAGACCACCGTACAGATCCCTGTGAGCAGCGAGTTTGATCCTTTAACTGCAAGGAATCTGAAACTCCTTCTAGAGTTGTAATTCAGCTGTCAGTGGTCGGAATTCACTATCAGTGGTGCAAACCTCAAGCATAGACAAGGTAAAAGAAAAACCACTGTTTGCACTTATCTGCACTTGAGATTCACACTTTGCAGATGCTCAGTTCCTGTTTGATGGCTGAACTGGGACTGTTTCCAAATCAAGATTTCTTACATTAATCTCAACAAGTTGCCTAACAAATTCTAAATGTTTTTAATAGCACACAGTCCAACTTGATGGGCTTATTCTTACTGCAGAACTTGAGAAACCGTTGACTTCTTTTGGCTACATAGTCCTATATTGCCCCATTCTTGATTCCTCGTAGTCCTTGGGTATTTTCACCCTCCTTTTGATGTTTTCAGTTAGAGTTGCATGAACTTGGGCGGACTAGAGTTATTTATGCTCCTGTCCAGATCTCCTATACTATTCCAGAACTCCCATCTAGGCCCTGAAGGAGCAGAGAGGGTCTTCTCATAGGAAAGTGGTTCAGTTCGCTCCTCTGCAAAGAGCCAGGTAATTCATCTTCGGAAAACTCAGCGACAGAAGTGGACAAATTTAAGACTCGGTGTTACTGGCAGATTTATAGAATAAAAATAGCCGTTCATTAGTTTTCTTCCAGAGAAACAGGACTGTGTGTGCTCCTGCCCCTCCTGCTACACCAGCTACCTCAGATCTACAGATGATCTCACAAGCAGATCAGAAGGACAGACCAGTACTTTCAGCGTGCTCCAAAAGACACACATGAACCTAGCCAAGGGAGAAACCTGCTCTCAAATGCAGTCTTACTAAAGGTGGTGTTAATACTTAAAGGAAAAAAAACAGATGATAAAAACTAGGAAGATGAAAATGTTGAAAATAAATACATTTGAATTTGCATACCCGGATCATCTTTTGGTTGTTTCTAGTCAGAAGCTTTGAAAGCGAGCTGTATGGGCCAGGGGTTGTATTTATTCTGGTGCTTTTAAGTTCCCCAGTGTTTTAGGTGACAGACATAAAAGATGCCTTAGTAACTGGGCTTCTGTTTACATTTCCTCACTGTGCTTACAGAATTATAACTGATGATATTAAGAAAGGTTTCATAAGTTATACAGCTACATAAACTGATGCGTATTTCAGGAAAGTGAAACAGCTGAAGTGAGACAATGAATCAGCTTCGTTCTGAGCCAAATAGCTCCTGGAAATGGCTACCAAGTCCTACAGGTTTCTCGTACCATGCCTATATGTTAGAGCTTGTCCTTTTTCACATCACAGCACTTGATTATTCCTGTAGCAGGAGCAGTGCCGCTTTATAATGAAGCCGACAGTCCATGACACATGCTTTTTAGACATGAACCTGGCCATCATAAGACTAGAGGCAAGCAAATTCAAAGAATCAGCTTTTTCCTTTAGGAAGTGTTTATGCATGCATGCATGCATGTGTTATAAGACAACTAGATTTTTCCGGGAAAAAAAAAACGCCAGAGAAACCTGGGGTGATCTGCCTGAAAACTGTGTCACTCAGATGAATAATCAGGAGTATGAGGGAGAGGAATCATAATTTTCTTCTTTCCTTTTAGATTTTTTTCCTCACGCATTTGTGGATACAAAATGTCCATCCCAAGAAAATGTGGGGAAATCCACCTCTGATCCCTGCGCTTTCAAGAGCTTGGAGTTAATCATGAGCAAATTTAAGTAACATATTTATCATAACCCGGGGATGAAAGGTCTGGGCCCTCCCATTCGGACCTTCTGCAGCTGACCTGGCCCCGGGCTTAGCTGTGCAGCAGCAGCAGCAGCAGCAGCAGTAGAGCTGCACCTTTCCCTCTTCTAACACCTAGCTCCAGTTAACAGTGAACCCGCCCTGACTACATGACTTCAAAAGAATGACTTATTTTAGTGCCTGTTTTATACAGCAAGTGCTCATAAAATGCATTTATTTGCATTTTACTTGCTGAACTACCAGGACGAAGGCAACTAGAGAACCTGAGCAGCGCTGACTCCCTGTAAGGAAGGCCGACAGACACAGAAATGCCACAAATGTTTCTAAAAGAAATGAGGCTCCAAAAGCAATGTTTGGTAGACACTTCTAAATCAACAGGAAACACTACATTGACATGCAGTTGACTGCTCTAGCAGCCGGCTGGTTTCTACAGTGCTTTTATAAGTTTCATCTTCCTCCTTGTGCAGTAGGGAACAGGAAGAGTGCCTGACCAATATCAAGGGTGACTGGTCAGGTCAAAGCCACCTAAAGAGGTTTGCTCAGAACTGTCCTAGCTGAGACTAGTGAAGTTTTAGTGCAAAACTCGTTTCTTTTTTTATCACAATGTTAGTGATACCGTTACGCTACCAGTGCGCACACTTTCCTTAGCAAAAACCTTTAAAATGCTGCAACAAACTGCAAACAGGCTGAAACACCTTGATGGAAATTTAATTGATCTGCTTCTCTCTCTACTAGGGAATCTGAATGATACAAATTTTCTAGCATCCATTCTGAGATACTTGGAGCTTCTCTCTCTTCAGTTCTTCCCCAAATGAACCTATCCTTCAGACAAGTTTCCTTTAGCTCTTAGGAGCAGCAGTAATATCATGCAGCCACAGATGCCTCCCCCTGCTGTTGCAGGATAAAGAGGCATACCCCATTGCAAGCAGTGGGCTAAGTAACAGATAGTGAGCAAGTCAATCAGTGAATCAGAAGGAAAGGAAGAGGAAACAATAAAAGTTGATAGTATGCTGGTGAGCTGTGAGGAGTACAAGCTGTTTGGAGGAGGTGGAAGAGCTGCCTTCCGGAGAAAGAAGTAAAACTGCTTTTGTAAGGACAATATAAATGGTTAGTCACATGAAGAGACTGAGCTGTGGCAGAGTACATTAACAGTGAACATGCCTTATGCTTCCCAAAATCCTGCACAACTACCATTTCTTTTCTGTTTCAACCGCTCTTAGGAGACCTAAGATTATCAAGTACAGGATTTTAGTGTTCTTTCAATTCAGCCAACAGAAATGAGTCAGAAATACAAATTCACCTATGCCAACCACACCAGCGTCAGTCCACCTAAATCAGTTTAGTTTGGTGTACAAAATAGAGAAAAATATTGAGAAGACTCAATAAACATGAGCTCTAAAGGTTATTTCTCAGCTACAATTGGATTTTGCCTTTATTAGGCCAGATTCCATTAAATCCACACAACGTTTCTAGCATGTGATAGGTTATAATTCTGGAGATTAATAATGTTTTTTTGATAATCCATTACTAATTGATAGGCTGGGTGTTTAAGATGTGTTTGGGATGGGGGCTATAAGAATGTACAGCTAGAGATTCATAGTTTACTGTAATATCACTTTAACAAATCCTGCTGTTTCTGTGTCATCAGAAGATGGTCTGTAAAGAGAATCTGCTTATTCATATCCTGTACAAGTCAGGAAAAGAGCTTGAATAGAAATTCTGCAATTTTGTTTTCCACTGAAATCTGGTGTCGTGCCCCGAAGTTGCTTTAGTGTTATTCTACAGGAAATACATAATCTACAAAAAAATTAAAATTTAGTAAAACAAAGCTTTAAAAATCTTTACAGAATTGAAATTGGTAAACTGTACTTGCTAAAGGACAGTTTCTGATACTTAGTTGTGCAGACGGTGCTGAACTAATTGAAATTGGTGGAAATCCAACTTTCTCTTCCTCTGCTTGGCACTGTTCAGCTCTGTTAGTACACAAGATTTCCTGCAGAACTCAGATTTTTTTTTTTTTTTAAAGAGTGTATGACAGTGCTTAAGAAACCTCTGGCTTTTATTCAATAAGAATTTGAAACAAATGAATGTGAGATTTTTTTTCCCCACAGTCTCTGTTATATCCTCTGCTGGATTTTTAGAAGGACACGGAGTTTTTGGGTTACATGTGTGCATTTCAGCTCTGCAGCAACCCACAATCACTCATGTGAAATGAAGATACCAGTCTGGAAATTCTTGTGGATGATATCCTGGTGAACTATTTTTCTTCTCAAAGAGAAAGTCTCCATCAACTCTGTTAATGAAATTAATCTGCTCGCTTTCAGGCAGACGTGTGCCACGCATACCAGATTGTCCACAGAAATGGCATTCCAGATGAACAGATCATTGTCATGATGTACGATGACATTGCAGATAGTGATGAGTAAGTGATGAACGTGCACCCCTGTTAGACTACATGTCAAGTTACAGCACTGAAAACGTACAGTTCTTTGTAAATTCTTCATTAGTATAAAAGTGATCTTAACTCTTGGGCTTAACAGTTAACAGCAAATAAAGAGTCTAAAACATAAGCATAGAGAAGCTCAGTAGATGGACTGTACTCCTTTTTAAAAGGACCTTCTCTTGTTTAGTCTGCAAAACATGCATCCAAAGTGTACATGTCCCATTCCTGACAATTATCTACATCTGTATCTATCCTTTCAATACAAAATGGTTCAGTTTTACAAGCATTAATTCTAATGCTACTTGAGCAGAAAATAACAGACTTGCTACGCATGGCAACAATGGGAGCAGAGTAAAGAGGATTAAGAGCAGCAGGACTTAAAATGGAGAGATGATAGTATCACAGACCATTTACCTATATCCTCAGAGTAATCTCCATGATCTCAGGTATTATTTGAAGGTTCTGAAAGGGTAAGGACACCTGAGCTCAGCATATGTAACTGACTGTACTGTAAGACCTTTTTATATGTTGAGCAGGCCATGTATCCCTAATTCAGGCAGGATGGCTAGTTGTTCTGTAGGCATTTTGTAACACATAACTAATTCTTCATATTTGTCTCATCTGACTTTCAGAAATCCAACAAAAGGCATCGTCATCAACAGACCTAATGGCACAGATGTGTATGCAGGAGTACCCAAGGACTATACAAAGGAGGTAGGAATGAAACATCATTCCTCTGGGGACCTGTAGTTCAACAGACCAGTGGTCTGAGTAAATCTTTTTAGGTGGTGGCTGGCAGTGTGTAAAGCACATCCAGCTTATTCATACCTGCCTGGCCAACCTTTGGTAAGATAAATATATACAATAGGTGTTTTGAAATGAAGCAGTAGTTACAAAAATAAACCCTTCCAATGTTTTCTATAGTACACCCAAAAGAAAAAGGGCAGAAGTGTTGTGTTTAAAACCAGTTGAACTCAATCTGAAAAAACGCAGCTATTTAAAACTAAGTCTTTCATTACATCAGAACAGTAATCCAACCACTTAGTGATTTCATGATGCAATATCTGAGTCACAAGCAGGTAGTACATTACTGATGGATTGAAAGGGAAATGTTATGGCAGGCAGCCCTGAAGTTAAGGGATGAGCTATTAGGTTCAGGATTGGCAGTTGTGTAACTTTCAATCTGCTAAAATTAACATTTAAAAAAGAATTTCTTTAGGGATTGTTTTAAATATCCGAGGGGTTTTTTTTGTTTGTTTGTTTTTTTGATCAGCACAGTGGAATGGCAGGAACGAAGGGATTTGTAGGGGTGGGAGTAGTAGAAACTATTTAACTTGACCTCACCACTGAGCCAAATTCTCAACAAGCTGTAACAAAAAAATAAAAAATCTAGAGGGGAGTAAGGCTTTTTTATTCTGAGAAGTTGAGTAGGAATGAGGATATGAGTTCCCAGCGACAACTATAAAAGAGTAAGTAAAAATCTTCGGTAAATGTTCTTATTCCAATACAAAAGTACTTTTTCAGTTTGGCTCCTATTCTTTTAGAAGCTGATGAAATATCAAAAAGGGAATTACTTTTAAAGTAAGAACAATACAGAAAACTGAAGAACTACTTCCTAACCACCAGTGGCTAGCTAAATTCACCATCCATTAAGATGCAATGGTTCTGACTTTCAGAAGCTACCTTCAAAATGGAGATTTTTGTAGTTGTTTTTAAACAACCAGGTTTAATTTAAATCCTCTCAAATCTTTAGGATGTTACTCCAAAGAATTTCCTTGCTGTTCTCAGAGGGGATGCAGAAGCAATGAAGGGAAAAGGATCAGGAAAAGTACTGAAAAGGTAAGACAAGTTCCATTTAGAAAATAATTGCATGTGCAGTTGTTCATTGGCACTGACTTTCAATAAAAGAGGGAATTTAGTGTATTTTTTGGAAGAATGGCTAATGGGAGTCGCAGAGGGATAGAGATAGCTTAAACAGCTCATCTGTTGAAAGAATTGCATATCAAATCCCAGATTCCGTCTTTATGACAGATGTAACTATTGAGATTTTGGATGTGATAAAGTAGGATTACTTTGTTGTACAAATGTTCACAAGTTCTACTGTATGATCTATAGTAAATGTCCTGTTAGGTAGAAGGTAAAATCTGCAACCAATTTTATATTTTATAAAGGCTTATGTAATTTAGATGATTCCAGAAAGAAAATATTTAAGACCTCATCCCTAGCATAGGGGAAAATAAAAAATTAAGTATCTGGTAAATAGTGGAATAAGCCTTTGCTCTGAACTGTTCAGACTTCATTCTGAAGAGTTACAAGTACAGAACTTAAAGGCAAAAAGTTAATCAGTTGCTGTACAGTCACTAGATTGCTCCTTTTCATTAGCTGGAATGAGTCAAGAGGGAGTATAAAGAAAGCATTTGCTTGGCCTAAGTTAAAGAAAAAAGTGCTTGAGAGCACATACAAAGTCAAGCTCTCACAGATGAGTGTAAGTCAAGTAGGGGAGTGGCTATACAGAACTACTCAGGAAGACAACTTGAACCCAGATCCAGTGCACTTACGGCAAAGAGCAGGAGCCAGAAAAATAATTCTCCTCAGCCCTTCCCCTGTTAGGCTTCACTTCATGAACGTGACAGTGTCTTGCCTTGTGCTGTTGGGTGGGCCAAGAAACACTCCTCTCTTGGTAAGATCAATCATTCTCTGCCCAAGAGACTTACAAATTGTCTTTCAGCTCCTCAAGCTTTTCCCTAACCAGTAGGTTATTGGCCAGGCTGAAAGGGGCCCCCCTCAAGCTGCTGCATTAGGACTCTCTGACAATCAGAAGGCAGAAGCAAGCGTGAGTTTCTGGACGACTAATACACAGGGATAGAAGAGGTCTTGGACACTGCTTCTAGTCTGTTCACAAATTTTATATTGAATTGTCCCTGAATATAGTTTAGAAATAAAATTCCTTTGCGGATCTGGCCGTTAGGATAGGACATTGATATCACCCACACAGGACTCATTCACACTGGAGAGCAATAGAAGTCTGCTTTGAATAGTGTGCTGCACAGACCATAGGGAACTGAAATCTTTAAGCATGCAGTGCTCCAACTGCAGAACCACTTGATGCTAATACCAACATAACATAACAGACTGCTACATGCACCCACAGTATAGTATTCCTCAGACAAAAGTTCAAAAAAAGAGTTGTGCCCTCACTTGATCAGCAATCAGTTTACACTGAGAAATATGAAGTGTCATTGCAAGATTCTCTGTATTGATGGGACTAGTCCCAAATGGACTTCCCCATTTTCATTCCTCTTCCAGATACTCATCTCAGTCACCCATAGTAGTATGTTTTGGATAGAAAAAAAAATCTCGAAGTATCAATGGCAATAGGTGTTTCAGCTAAGTTTTAAATATTGACATTTTTTGGCATTAGGCAGCATGAACTGTTTTCCTAGCAAAGACTGGGGTTGGTGTGGCTGGAAAACATTTGTTTCCAATTTTCTGTTGACAGTGGTCCCAAGGATCACGTGTTTGTTTATTTCACTGACCATGGAGCTCCAGGACTGCTGGCTTTTCCCGATGACGACGTAAGCATTTCAGGGCATCAGTGTGAAGTTTGTTGTAAAGAACATTCTTTCTGTTACATACTAAAATATTAAGTAGTATGATATGAAAGCATTTTACACACTTCCATATTTGGGAGGCAAAGGAGCCATAATCTCCTTATCCTAGTTTGGGTTTTTCCCAGTTTGAATCTGAAGAATTTAAGTATCCAAGTATCTAAATATTTAGTATTTTATTGGATATTGGTTATCCAAGCAGACAATTCCACACAGGTATGATGTAGGTATGATGTAGCTGCACTATTTATATTTTGGAGCACAATTGCTTGTGTTTTCCAGAATGATAAATAGAACACTTTCTGAAGGACAAAACACTGAATGTATTTAAACAGAAGCAATAAAAAAATGACGAGTTAATCATTATTCCTATTACATGAATTGCTTGTTTGCTGAACAGGAGTAGTTGTAATAAAAAAAAAATCTTATTTTACAGCTTCACGTGAAGGACTTGAATAAGACCATTTGGTACATGTACCATCACAAAAAATACCAAAAGGTAAAAAATGGATGTTAGATGGTGTTAGAATAGGAGAAGCTGGTGTAGAGGAGAGATTTGGCTGCACTTTGAGAATGTGTTTAAAGCATAGGGAGACTGGTGCCATGTAACAAAGGTTGGGGTTTCATGCAGAAGGCCTGATAGCCACATTTGCTCACTTCATTTTCAGTTCATAGTATGTTTGCAATGGAGATAAAGCCCAGCCTTTTTGTACCCATATGTAATTTGACCAACAGTAGAGAAACAACATCCCCAGCTACCACACCTCCCAGTGAGCTCCTGACTTGTCCTTCCTGTGCTTTGTTCGCTGCAGACTGCACTGCTACTACAGGAAGCCTGCATATATTTTATGTTTCACTTACCATAACTAAGGTAGTTACAAACAGTACAGTTCCTTAGTTACTAACAGTTTAAGAGACTCCACCTCCCATCAGAGTCTTTCATCAAAAGCAAAGTAGTTTTAAACAGAAAAACTAATATTCAGAACATTTTAGCGACTTGGCCTTTTAAAACATTGTGGCTAGCTGTAGTTAAGAAAACATAAGTAGTCAAGTTTCAGAAATATTATGTCTGTATTCAACTCTGGTACACTGCTGTACCTAAAGACTAAGCAGGTTATTTGATATGTACTGAATCTATCAGTTGATATATCAGAATCCTTGTGGATTCTGTATAGATTAACTGAACTGTGTTATTCCTGTTTTCTCTTTCCACATGATTTAATTAGCAAAGTGAAAAATGTTTATATGCTTTTTATGTTTTGTAGCATTATAGACAGCTTTTGTTTCAGGGATATCAGTACAGGTCAACTAGTTGCAGCTGAAAAGCACACTGAAGGACTTTTCTCCATTTTCCTCATGAAATTTCTCAAGTCTCTGACTCTTTTATAGATGGTATTTTACATTGAAGCATGCGAGTCTGGATCTATGATGAATCATTTACCAGATAATATCAATGGTGAGCAATTACCTTACCTTATATTGGACTTGGATTTTTTGACCCGTCAGAGGCAGGACCTGAGCAGAGGGTGTGGCAAGGATAGGTTTCACAGCACTTTCACATGGTTTTAGCAGGTAAACACAAGCATTAGAGGAAGCAGGATTCTCCACTGATTGCAAGTTCCTTTAAAATAAATAAAATCCTGTAAAGACTGTCCAGATTTATAGTTTTTGTAACTGCAGAGCTAAAATAATATTTAATTTCAGAAATTATGTGGGATTGACCACATAATAAAACTATATTTCTGAGCTTCACTACAGTTCAGATACAAAGTTTCACCTCTCAGTTTCCTTGAGTAGTAGAAGCACTTGTGATACGAGAGCCAGGCAATTTTACTACAGTCATTGGGCAACAATCAAGGCAACTACTTTGAATTGACAGTGGCTCTCTTCCCCTTTTCCTCCCCCAGGCTCCAGGAAGGATACATTTTTCCCTAATCTCTTTCAGACAGAAGGCAATTGGCAGCAATAAAAGACTTCTAATTATTCTGTTCAAAACCAGTATCAGTGTTGTAAGATTAGAAGCGTCTTTCTTTCCTCCCTCTTGCTATTTGAAAGTAAATGATTGAAAGGTGAAGTATTTAGCTGCATGTGATCTATTAAGTACTGAATGAACTGAAAAAAACAAATGAAGACTATTTTCCATTTATCTTGCAGTTTATGCAACAACTGCTGCCAATCCCAGAGAATCATCTTACGCATGTTACTATGATGATGAAAGGCAGACTTACCTTGGTGACTGGTACAGTGTGAACTGGATGGAAGATTCTGACATGGTAAGTTACTTAGGTGAGGTTTGTGTTTCCATGCATAGTAATCATCAGATTAAAAAAAGTTTAACAAGATTCAGGAACATTTTTGCTTTGTGCAGAATTGAAATCTACAAATTCTGGGTTGGTTAAAGTATTTCTCTCTTCAGTACCATATGCAATCTTTATTTAGACAACTATATTTATTTCAGAAACTTGATTTCAGGTACTTGTGCCTGAAAATGTCTAGCTTCTATTTTCAAGCTCACAGAATCCAGATTTACTCATTAGAGACAACATCTCTAGTTTCTTAAACAAATTAGGCAATAGTAAGTTGTACATCAGCTTCACGGATCCTTTAATAGTAAACAGTGGGTAACATTTCTTAATACAATGGAAATCACTGTCAGTGGAGGGGGGAAAAAAGTCCAGGTTTCTTGTACTAGTCCCATTTGTTCCCAGTTACTGAGAAATTTCTGAAAGCAATTTGAGAATATGCCATCAAATCTTCATTTACTTTCTTCATATATTTCCCTCCATCTGTTGGCAGCTAAGACCCTTCCCAAGTTTCCTTGGGATTTTAAAAAGCTGAATTTAAGTGTATGTGATCACATGAAAGTTTCTTAATGCAGGAAGATCTAAGGAAAGAAACACTCCACAAGCAGTTTCAACTGGTGAGGAGACGCACCAACACCAGCCATGTGATGCAGTATGGAAACAGAGTATGTATTTGGATGGACTTTGTGGTTAGAGACATCAGTTGAGCCTTAGCTGCCCTATATTTTCATTCCCTTTAAAATTGCTCTAATGTGGCAAAGTTGGTTTAGAAGATGAAGCTCTTCATCTCAAAAGAACCTCTTGGCATCTGAGCACAGATGGTCCTGATGCTAAAGAAAATACAGCTTTGGCCTAAAGCAGGGAGCTGGGATCAGCAGGAGTTGCCCTCCAACCTCTGCCTGTGGTTTAACGGTTCAGATCAGGCACCTATAAGGAGAGTTACCCCTATTGTGCATATTGAATATGAATGTTCCATATTATGAATGTTAATAAGTAAGGTGAAGCCATGGATAGAAGGAGCAAAGATATATCTCTTGATAATGTGTGATTTTATATTATATATTGATGTATTATACCACTTAAAATTGTTCCATTATTTAATGTGTTAACAGAAACACACATGAAATTCATTTTAAAAAACTGCTTAATCTGATAGCCTTTCCCTCTAAAAGATCTATGGAAATAAAAACTGTTAACTTCTGACAGCCCTTGATTGTGTTAGAAAAAATATATACTGCCCTACAGATACTTGTTTTCTCTAATAAAGCAAGTTTAGAAAGTTAGCAGGTTCCCATGGCAAAACAAAGTCAAACTACCTACTGCACATGCTTGATGATTTGCATTTGTTTGCTTTCTAACACACAGAGCATCTCCTCTATGAAAGTGATGCAGTTTCAGGGCATGGGGAAGAAGGCTACCCCCATTTCTCTGCCACCTGTAAAACACTATGACCTGACTCCTAGCCCTGATGTCCCTCTTGCAATCATGAAACGAAAGCTGATGGCTACTAACGATATTTATGAGGCTAAGAAGATTGCAACAGAGATGAAAGCACACTTGGAGGTAAGAAACGAAAAACAGAAAACAAAACTACCTATCAGGTCAGATTCAATTCTGTCACGACCCATGCCAGAAATCATAGCCTTAAAGTCAGTGAGATTGCTTCTAATTTTTGCTAAACTGCAACAGAATTACTCCTCAGATTGGTAACTCTAGCTGATGGCTTACAACTACCTTAAGATGTCAGATGTTAAAGAAAGAGAAATTTGAGTATTCAAATGAGGGATTAGAAAAGACCTTCTAAAGTTTTCTCATCTTATGTGCAGGCTAAAGAATTTATCCAGGAATCTATGCGAAAGATTATCACCTTAGTAACAGGATCAAGAGAAAAGACCAACCAAGTTCTGTCAGACAGGTTGACCATCAGCAATTATGACTGCTACCAGGCAGCAGCCAACCACTTCAAAGCTCACTGCTTCAACTGGCATTTTCCTGTGGTAAGTTGGACATCAGATAAAACCTAGTCAGGTACTAGTTAAAATAGCACAGTGATTGCAGGCAGCTCTGGGGAGGTGGTGGACACTGACAAACACACACACTAGAAGTGAACGTTACTTTTGGAGAAATTTTTCTCGAAGCATAAGACCTCTTCAGTACGTTTGTGGATAAGCCAATAAATTACAAAGAATACCTCACCAAAAAGGCCTTTTTTTGTTGCTGCTTCTTCCCACAAGTCCTAATAAATTGAATAACTTGTGTTGTACTTCTGCTTGAAGCCATCTCTAATGGCAAATTGGTGGCACCACCAATTAGAATGATGAATTCAAGTACCTTCAGATTTCTGTACCATGACTGTATGCTAAGGATAACCTGGTATTAATTTCTGAGATCTTGTTAAATTTCTATAAAAAATTAAAAATAACTTTAAAAAAATTAGTTGCTTTATTGTCGCTCTACCCTGTGATCTCAATCAAGAACCAAGTCTTGTTGTGGTAGACCTTGTTCAAACAAACAAAAAGATTAGAAAAGTTCCAGTCCTGATGTCAAAAGATAGATACCTTAGGCAGAAATGCCTGTTAGGATAAGTCAACAAGATAAATTGATCTTAGCATAAAGCAAGGAAATTGCCTGCGAGTTAGCCAAGATTTAAATACTATATGGAAATCAGTCACATGTATTTCCTCAGACAGGGCTTCTAATCTATAGGGCTATCAGGCAGTCATGTTGCTCTGTCTTAGGCTTAGTTCCTCATCACTTTTGTTTTGAGTGAGGTTGGTTAGTTGAATATTGCCTAAGGGACAGACCAGCAGCAACAGCTGAATTTACCTAATGAAATTCAAGGAAGGAAGAAAACAAACAAACAAAACCCCACACCCCTATTTGGTATAGTATTAGATTATCAGCACCAGAAAATATACCCTGTAAATAGTAATGACATCTCAAAATTAATTCCACCAGTTAGTTTGGATATGTAATCACTGTTCATCATCATTATTATTCATAATGTCTGTTTTTTTCAGTATGAATATGCATTGAGACAGCTCTACGCATTGGTCAATGTTTGTGAAGGAGGATATCCCATTGACAGGTAACACAGGTTCCAGCTACCCCATGTAGTTTTATCTGTGGTCAGAAAAGTAGAAGCTGACAGGAATTTGCAACATAACCTTAAAGGCTTCTCGTTTGTTGACCATTTTGTCAAATAGTTCTCACTCTTGTGTTATGAATGCTCCTTTTGAAAGAAAAATATATTAGCACCTTCCCTATCACTTATTACAAGGATTCAGCTCCCTAGTGAACACTTAATTTACCTGAAGACCTTCAGGTGAAATTGCTGTACTAAAAAAAAAAAACAAAAAAAACCCACAACACACACAACTTCAAAGTAGCATAACTGGTAGGTTTTACAGAGGAGGGATATTGTTCTGTGATATCTGTACACACTGATGATGATGCAAAGTTAGAAACTGCTGTAGTTTCCACTTTGTCTCCCCAGTTTCTGGCTCAGTATACTGCAGTATGGCTGGGTTCTGGGGAGGAAATGCAATATGACACTGGGGAGTATCCCATATCTGTGCATGAATGGTGCGGGAGAAGATACATAAGGATCCAGGCTAAAGGGTTATGGTGGGGGAAATGGAAACATGGTGCCAAATTCCTGAGTTGGAGGTTGTAGTATGTGATAATGCTGGTGATAGCAGCTTGCAAGTCATGCAGTAGTAAGAGAAGGGTGAAAGCAGGGGAGTAGGGGAGGGGGCAGAAAGCTGACGGTTTAGGCAGCATGCACATGCAGCCCAGAGTGTCCCACTCTTAGTAGCACCTTAGTACAGTTAGTTTGGGAAACACTCTAAGAGCAAAGAACCTGAAAAGTTTCTCATCATTGTTATTCTCTGTTGCAGAATACGCCTGGCCATGGACAAAGTGTGCCTTGGATTAGTGTAAACCTCAAATTAGTGGAAACAACAGCCCTTAGTCCTTAGGCCCTTACTACAAACAATAACTTTCCATAAGTGTAATAATCCAGACTTTACATGCATGCAACACGAAGAGGGTCAACCACTGCATGAGTCAAGTACTGTGTTGGGCAGCTGCCCGTGAGCAATACAGCAGTTCAGTGCTCTGCCCTGCCTCGCTCGCGCTCTGGGGGTTCAGCAGAGCACGTGGAGCTTCTGAGGTGGATCATCTGTTCCAAAGTGCAATGCTTCAAGCCTCTCTGGATGAACACTGCAAGGCATCTAGTGATGATTCTAGTTTATGCTAAATTTAAGTTTTGATTCCTTACAGAATTTTTTTTATTAGCATTAACTGTTAGCTCTTTTTAAAGAAATATTAATGAACATCCATTTACAGTGACTAAGTTGCAATGTGGTTGAAAAGAAACCAAAGTTCATTATTTCAGCTTTAACTCCTTTAGAGTTTAAAGGGATGAGCTGTATTCAAGAATTATCATATGTGTTAAGCTGTGGACAGCAATGGACAACAAGAGCTTTTGTGGGTAGAAAACATTGTTTCCCAAAGAAAAACACAACTACTAATGCTGTAATTTTATTGTCAGTGTGAGATAAGTAAATGTATGTACACCCAAACCTGTGGGAAGTCAGAGTACAGAATTTGCCTGTGAATAAAAGCAAAAGTTGGGAGTTCCATCCAACCTTCAGGGCAATGCAGTGTTATATACCTCATCTCTTAGACAAGTAAGAGCTAACTCCTTTTGTGAGACTGGATTAAATGGTTATCTACCCCTCTGAGTTATTTATAAGGGAGACCATCTCAAACAAAATTTCCTCACTCATTGTCTCAAATAAGAGGAAATTACTCATGTGACTCAAGGAATCACAAGCAGAGGAACAAATTAAAAGTTAGGAGGTACTTCAAAATAGTTTCAGATTGTCCATACCTTTTTATGCATAGAGACAGAATACAAAAATACTTCAAAGTTCTTCCCAGAGTAAGAGAAAAATATAAAAAGAACCCCTCCACTTCACAGGAAAAAGAGTAAGTTTTGGAGAAACTCAACCAGGATCTGTAGCACAAAAGGAATTCTAGTTAACTTCACCCAGAGGAGGTAGGGGCCTATTAAATCCCTTTCCTATAGAGAAGAGCCCAGGCACATTAGCACCTTCAGCTGTCTGCAATGGGAGTGAATGGGAGAAATCTCAGAATACAACTAGTGTCAAGATACCCTGGGTGAAGTGAAACCCCTGTGGAACTCAGCTTTGCCTAATGAAGAAATTGAAGTTCGCAGGTGGGTGGAAGATGTGGAAAGTTCAGATGTTTATTCTTTTGAGCCGCTTTTTGGTTTCTTTACAGTTGAGAAACTTACTAGACAGTGGCAACCTATAAATGAGATGAAATGAATATTGCAAGTGCTTGAATGTGTTGTGGTGCTTGAATTCCCCCGAGGCCAGGAGTGGGGTTGGCCAGACTGTACGATGGGTTGGTAAGATTGTACCAAGCTTCCCTAATCAGTTTGAAAGAACAGAAAAAAAAAAAAAAGAAATAACTCCTTTAAAAACCCGTCTGACTGAATAATTTGAACTTGGCAGGCTTTTCAGATCTCTGTTTAGTTTTTCTGTGCCCTGGAGATCAACAGCCATATAAAGCACTTTTCTAATAGCTGTAAAAAGTAGACTTAAGCAAAAATTGTCAGATGAAAAATCGAGTCACAGGAGCTAACTTGTTGAGGTCCCACAGCATGATTTGAATTGCTAACAGGTATTCTTGGTTTTATACCTAACAGATACGCAGGTGGTGCTTGCACACTTGTTAATAGCACTAGCCCTGTCTGTCCTGCAGCACCTTGTCACTTCAGAGGATGCAAAACTGAAAGTGACAGCAGGAGGTTTGTTTTGTCCATCAGCTTTACTCCTCCAAGACTCATTGTGGGGGACTCACCTGACTTCATGGCTGCTAGCATTCCTTTAGGAATATGCCCGAAATGAAAACACGAGGTAGTCTGGAGACAATCCCACTGCATCCAGAATTCTTTCTGAGAATCAGTTGTGTTTTTTTTCCTCTTCTCTCTACTAAAAAAGTATTAGCGATGTTACAGAATTCCCAGGTCTTACCCAGAGACTACTTTTCTTCTACAGTCATTCAGTGAGCAGCCCTGCAGAATACCTTTTTTTTTCAAAAAGGAAAATTTCTCCAAGCCAGCAGTGATCAATAGATTTGTTTTAAGGCCTCCAAATAGCATCACATTAGCTTAGCACCTGTGTGGCCATCTGCTTATGTTTGGATAGCAGAAACCAACAAGAAAATAAAGTCAGGATTGTGCAAGATTAGTCTTATGCCACAGCATCCTGTGGTGCGTTGTGCAAGCACCCCAGCTGTCACACGGCACACAGCTGCTTGGTGCTCTTATATTGCAGGGACAGAGGAATTCAACTTCTTTAAAATGCTTGAAAATCTCAGGCTGCCAGTAAATTGCCATCACTGTTGGGCAAAGTTGAGGCTGTATCGCGTGGAAAGACTTTTCCTGCTCTAATAACAGGGTATATAGCTAGCCCCTGGGATGGGGGCTTCCTTGCTGGTCAGTTCTTCCTGTCCCTCCTCTTGGTCGTTGTTAGACACAGTGAACAGTGTCCAAGCCCTTCTTTCCACTCATTCTGAGACAAATCTTGCGGCAGAAGGTAGGAGGGGGGTTCAGCGCATCATCCTGCTGGGCCCAGCTGTTCCCCTTGGGCCTCCAGGCGCACGAGGAACGATCAATCAAAAAATGACATATCATATGCTGACTATTTAGATATACTGCAAATGCATGTAGGTGCAATTGTATTCGGGGCTTCTATAACTGCCTTGACATCTTGAATGATAACAAGCAAAAGGAAATGCACCAGGGGTCGGAAATGGTGGATCATTCACAGATTCCAGGAGGTTAGCCTTAGATCAGCTCTGTCCAGAATGCATTGTGCATTCTGTCACCAGGATGGCTTAAGATGAATGCCGCATCTGTGGAAAGCTGTGTCCGCTTTCAGGTAGGAGTTTGAAGGTCTGCAGTGTCTTGGGCTCAGCCTGTTTGCTTTCTCTGAAAGTGATGGAGGAGCAAGAAAGGGAAAGGCAGCTCTTCTGTTAGGAAACTGAAGTCATGACTAAGCAGCATTTATTGCGTGTCTAGTGCTTGGGCAGTTCTGAACTTGAGGCCTCTTCCTTCCTAGAGATAGAAAGCCCCAAGGGATATCAGAGACGACCAAAACATTACAGCTCTGTCCCTTGCACTGCTAGGCCGGTGTGACAGCCTAGCAACACCAACCAAGGGGGGTTCTGCTGGCAAGGAGGGTCTCCTCACTGGTGAATGCGAGAAAACAGCATTTCACAGGTAAACACTTAAACACCAGGACAGGCTCCGTCTGAGGCGAAGGGTCTCCAGCCTTGGAGGCTGCAGCACTGCAGGGTGCCCTGAGCTCCCTTGCTCCCGGCCCAGCTTTGAGCTGGGCATTGCATGGGAGTGTTCTGGAGACCTTGTTCACTTGGATCACAACAGGAGTCCATGGAAAAAGGACTGTCTCCTGTTGGGTTTCAAAATACAGTCTGGTGATTGATGTATGATCCCTTCGAAAGCTCTTTGAACTCAGCAGGAAACTGCCTTGTCTTCAATGGCTTTTATTTTAGGTCAAGCCTGACCTGCCTGAGCAATTATTTCAGTCAATTATTGCCAGATTGGGCACAAAGTGGCATTAAGGCAGCACCCTGCAGGAAGCAGCCACTGGGGCTGCTTGTTTTTTCCTTTTCACAAGTTGCTGGCTTCAGCAGCTCTCCCTGCCTCGTGAGAGTGCTCGTTTCACAACGTCCCTGTGGCAAGGAGTGCTGGAGGAGGCCATGGCCGCATTGCACAACGCTCCCTGGTCAAAGTCTCCTGGAATGTGCTCATGTGCTGATGGCTCATGTGAGGGCTGGCGCGTGAGTTGCTGCTGGGCCACCTTGGCTAAGGCCAAGGGCTCGGATCAGCAGACCCGGCTGCTTCCTCCTTGCCTGCTCTGCAGACACAGCCTGCAGTGTCGGGAGCCGTGCGGCAGAACAAGTGAAGAAAGTCCCACGGAGCATTCAAAAACATACATTTCTATCCAATGTTTATCTTCTTTTCTCAGCACCTGAAATGCCAGGTGCCGTCTGAATGGGCACAGGACCTGGAAGCACCAAGAGGAAGATGAGCCCTGGCTGGTGGTACTGCTGGTCCACATGCCTGAGGCTGCCCTATGGAGGAGGTGACTCATGGTCCTGGGGCTGCCACTCAGCCCCCATCCCACCGCCTCCCTCTGCCAGCAGGCAGGACTGGCAGCCCGTTGAGTAACGGCCGTCACTCATGCTCTGGTCAGGAGCTGCGTGTTGGCGGCTGGGGACACCATGTTCCCTGCGCACCAGCCCTGGCAGCCCCGAGGGAGTGCTGACTGCCCGGCCTGTCATGGCGGCAGGGCCTGTGCTGTGAGCAAGGAGCCTCGCTGGCCCCTAACCGCACACGTGCTCCCTGCCGGGGTGGTCCAGGGGGGCAGGTAACAGCGTGCGTCCAGCTCCTGCCCACCAACTGACCCAGGATGCTCCTTTGAGCCCTAGGAAGGGTCACACTGAGCTTTCCAGTGGTCTGCTGGACTGAGCTTTGCCTCATTCACCACAACAGCAGCACGTTTACTGTTGAAAAGCTATTTCGGCATGACCGCAGCACAGAGTCCTGTTGAGTCCCACTGCTGGAGTCAGCCTAGAGAAGCAGGAGCCATCACGAACCTGGAGCCATTTGTACTGATCCCATCGCTGAGGTTCTTTCCTAGCTTGCCCATGGAGGTGGGGTGGCTGTGGCAGGGTGCTGGAGGAGAAGAGTCTCCCGCTTTCCCCAGGCCAGGGTGATTTGACACCTCTGCCAGTACCTGGCCAGAGTTACTTCGTTCAACACTGCACCCCAACTGAAGCTTGTTTTGCCTGTCTCTTCACAGCTGCCTGCCAGACACTGAGTAAACCTGGTGCCCACACAGCATGGATACATGCCTGGAAAGACCAAAGAGGTGTAGGCTCTGCAGGGCTGCTGATAGTAGTTTATAGATTGTGGTCAAACAGACCAGGTGGCTCACAGAGTCCAAGGAAGCCCCTCTCTGCAGCAAGTCTGCAGCACTGGCATTTCTTTCCAAGCAACAACCTGCCAGGCACTGTAGCTCCATGGCTGTGAATAATCGCAGTGAGCTCAGAGGAAGCCATAGCAACCCTTGCAAATCAACTCACGGCTTTGCAGGTCTATTGACAGAGGAAAAGGTGCACCACACTTTGCACGTGCTACTTGAGAGCCATTGTAAAAAGTCTTGATGCCTTGTGTGGCACACAGGTCTGATTTTGGGACCAGTCTATGGTTAATTTTAGTCTGATTCCCATTGGATTGCAGAGATTTAACACTGGTTTCTGGTTTCCGTGTGCTCCACTGCCCATCCATATCATCCACTTTCTTTCCCCTTCCCTATGGTCTGGCTGCTGCTGACGGGTCCCCCAGACACTGCAGGGCTCTTCACTAGTAAATCAATAGCTCGATGTTGTCAGGTGCAAAGCCTGGTTGCTCTCCAGAAATACCCAGATCAGTCCTAGCTTCCTTCCTTGCCTGTATCTTCTTTACCCTGATCCCCATCAGATTACTTTAGGCTCATTAATTGTGAACGTTACGGCACAACCAGAGCCTGCTCAGGTGAAGGACTTTGGCAGACACACACAGCTTTTGCTCTCGGGTCTTAAAATAACTTGTAGTAGAGGGCAGCTAAAATCACTGGTAGGGAGTTTGCTGGAGCCCTGGTCCTGGGGGAAACAACGGCCAG